TGGGGGGGTGGGGGGGGGAGAATGATGGGCAGGTTTGTGCATTCAAAGCCCAGCCCATTTTGAACATGCATCACATGCATTTAAAAAAGGGATGGGCCTTTGATCACACAGTCACACATAGTATCTTTACCTTTGTGACCCCCACCTGCCGATGCTTTTGTATGACAAATCTAAATTTGAAAATTACAAGGAAATCCTTTTGTTAATAGTAATAGGATGATTCATTTTTGTTATGTGAGGAACTGCTATATAAATATGATTTCCCTCAAAGTGTAGAATTGTAGTATCTTGTTGAAATATTTTTTGACATCTAGATATGGGCCAGCAGCTTCAGAATCCCTTCTAACAGACATAATATATATCCATGCAACAGTATGCAAAGCACAAAAGGGTGTTAGAATGTGTAACCCAAGGGAATTAAAGGCATGAAACAACTGGACTTGGAGCTTGAGTTTCAACCTGCTTCGGATGAGGTGGCAGTCTCTTTGCAGTCTGGATCCTCAGCTACCACTGGTTCTGCAGATGGCAGCTATGGCAAGGAACATATCTGAAAAATTAAAGTTAGTTCACCAGCTGTGACTATTCCAGAGACAGATTTTAGCTGTCCATACTTCCCATCTTGAGTACTGCAATGCACTCTACGTGGGGCTATTCTTGAAAAGTATCCTGGAATTACAAATGGTACAAAATGTGCCAGCTACTCTGCTAACTGTTCCAAAGTACAATGATGCCTATACTGAAAGAGCAGCACTGGTCTGACAACTGTTTTATTTAAAATGTCCTTTAAAACCCCAAAAGGCTCAGGACTTACTATTGGAGGGACAGTATCTCCCATTATGAACCTATCTATTAGTTAAGATTAGCAGATTAAGTCCCTCTGAACATGCTCCTACAATAAGAGGCTCGTTCACCCATCTGGCCTGAATTGCTCCCAGGCTATAGAACATACTCCCTCAGTGTTGCATTTCACCCCTTCTTTCATTATTTGGAAAATCTGTAAAAATCTTTTGCTATGCATTTAATTGTTAATTTATTTTAGTATTAAATTTCTGCTTTTAACTTTTAATTTAATTGTTAATTTTGTTTTAATTCTGTTAGTTACCTTAAGTGCTTGGCTGAGCAGAAAGGGCTTAAACTGAACAGATATAAGGTGTTATGCATTTAATTGTTAATTTATTTTAGTATTAAATTTCTGCTTTTAACTTTTAATTTAATTGTTAATTTTGTTTTAATTCTGTTAGTTACCTTAAGTGCTTGGCTGAGCAGAAAGGGCTTAAACTGAACAGATATAAGGTGTTATGCATTTAATTGTTAATTTATTTTAGTATTAAATTTCTGCTTTTAACTTTTAATTTAATTGTTAATTTTGTTTTAATTCTGTTAGTTACCTTAAGTGCTTGGCTGAGCAGAAAGGGCTTAAACTGAACAGATATAAGGTGTTATGCATTTAATTGTTAATTTATTTTAGTATTAAATTTCTGCTTTTAACTTTTAATTTAATTGTTAATTTTGTTTTAATTCTGTTAGTTACCTTAAGTGCTTGGCTGAGCAGAAAGGGCTTAAA